ATATGAACTTGCTTGAATGCACAGAAGAGCTTCTCTGGAAGATGTATAAGAAACCGACAACGCTGGTTGACAATGGAGGACTGGGAGAAAGAGGTGGAAGGACGACTTCACATTGCACATTCTTTTATATCATTTACCTTTTTAACCATGTGACTGTATTATGTGGCCAAAAATAAATGTAAAAAGAATGAAATCACAACCACGGGAAACAAGAAAAGGTGACATCAGTGTGAAATAAATTTTGAGTGATACCAACAAGAAAGAAAGGCAATGAATTTGGACTAGATGAGAAATCAGAGCAGAAAACATTGCAATTCAAGAACTCAGAGGTAAGAGTGGGTTTTCCCAAGGAAACACCGATCTCAGAGACAATGAATGCAAAGAGCAGGGGTAGGCTGACAGGTAATCATTATGGTAACTCATTGAAGAGGTGCAGTGGAAACAGCTGGGATAGGTGGGCTCTTTTTCTCTCTCTCTCTCCTTTCCCCCATGAACCCTTTGTCAGCAGCAGCATTTGGCTTTTGCCCTCAGGCTGAAGTTGCCTGAGGAGGGCCTTAGGGAGGGTGCTAAGACCTCTGCAAAAGACAGGAAAAAGAAAACAAAAGGAAAACCAGCATCAGTCAAGAGTGAAACCCTCTAAAGGGCTTCACCCCCAGAGAAAAGCCCTCCTTGCTTTATCAGTTGTGGGGGTCCCTGGCCTTCCTGCCTCTCCACCCACATAACCTAAAGGGAAGCCTGCTTTTTGACAGGCTCTACCCACTGAAACAGAACCCGCAGTCAGCCCTCCCATTCCGGAGAAGGGTTTGTGGGGGGAAACAGATCAGTGCAAATTGCAGAGGAAACCCATGCTATCTACCCATAAAAACAAACATAGTTTTTCATTCATAAATATGACCAGACAACAAAGGGTCATCAGACATTTGAGGAAAACTATCAACATGAAAGAGAAGGACCAAAATAAACAAATGGAACTGACCCCCGAGGACAGAAAGATACTTAAAGGAATAGAAGAAAACTTAAATATATTCCAATTTGTATCGCCAGAGGCTAGCCAGTGCTACTTTACTAGATTAGAATGTTGTACAGCTCCCCTTTCGATCCCCTTAAAAGAAAATTCAGTAAATCGGCAGAGGTTTTACTAATTCCTTACAATGTGTCAGGAAGCAAGGATTCTGAGTTTGTTTTTTTTTTAATTGTCTCTTTCCTCTAGGAGCTAATGGTAGGGAAATTGAACAAGTCAATTATGAGGTAATGTGGCAAATGCTAGGGGAGATGAAGCACAGAAGATGGATTAAGCCTCCCACCTTGTCTGCTGGGAAGGGAGGTTTCAGAGGGCCTATCTTCTTCATCAACCTTAATGGATAAGGGCGGAGAGAGTCAGCATGTGCACAGGGAACAGCTTGACCAAGCACAGTACATTTAGGGGACTAAGCCTAGCTTGATACGGCTGATGCTCAGGGTTGAGCAGGACCAAGTTGCGAGAAAGATGAAGACAGAAAGGTGGGCAGGGAACAGATCATGTTCTATGCTAAGAATTGAGATGCTGCGCTCTAGGCCAGGGTTTCCCAGACATGTTCAGGGAAAAGAGTCCATGCAAGGCCATTTGTAGAACAAAAAAAAAAAAAAGTGATATATTTAACTCTTTCGTATGTACTGGAAATAATTTTCCTAGCAGAAACTATGACTGTGTTCTAGGTTATCAATATAAAATCACAACCACAAGCATAGTCACACCAAAAACAAACTGTTGAAGTATGATCCCTTGTTTTTTGAACTTTTCCCTTGATATCTATTTGCTGCAATTCAGTCACTAGCTAGCAAGAAAGCATAGTAAAAAAGAGGGACAGAGATTTCAGAAAATTTTGCATAAAAAAACTGAAAAATGAAGCAATTCAATCCATCAACTTCATTCTTTTTGTGAACCAAGAGAAAGATGGTCAATATTTGACTTTGGGCGCAGGCACTTTCATGCACTCTATAGATCTACAGATTTCTTGGAAACTAAGGTTGAGAATCACTTCCGGATGCATTAAGCAGCTGAAGTTTTTGAAAGGGGGCCCAACACCAGGGCCAAGGCCACTCCTTCTTGGGGGAGAGACAGGTATGGTACATCCTGACACAAAGGACATTTGATCAAGAATCAGAAATCAGAAAATAGAGCCCAAGTTTGGAAGCTGGAAAGGTAGCCAACTGTTGTAGAGGACCAGGCAGAGGAAGGACGGAAGAAAGAGGAGGCTTCACGGACTGAAGTGCAAGCAGGTTATCCTGGAGCTAATCCCATTCCTGCTGAACATGCCAGGGCACTCGGTCCATCTGTTTGCCTGCGTCTGGTGCAGAATCTTAGGGGGTCAAGTCAGATTAGATAATATGGTCACTTATAAGACTTAGAATTAACATTCTTCTGGCAGTATGAAGGATGGATGGGGTAGGGCAGGAAGGGAAGCAAGGAGATAAATTCGGAGAGTACAGGTTAGTAATCTAGCAGAGAAGGGACGTAGGCCCAGACTCTGATGTTGGCACGAGAAAAGTGGTGGAGGTCAAGAAGCTTTGGGGAAGGGGCACCTGGGTGGCTCAGTCGTTGGGCGTCTGCCTTCAGCTCAGGTCATGATCCCGGGGCCCTGGGATGGAGCCCCGCGTCGGGCTCCCTGCTCTGCGGGAAGCCCGCTTCTCCCTCTCCCACTCCTCCTGCTTGTGTTCCCTCTCTCGCTGTCAAATAAATAAATAAAAAATCTCAAAAAAAAAAAAAATAGAAGCTTTGGGGAAGAAGAAGCCCCTGGGATTGGGGAGGAATCTGGGCAAGAGAGAGGGAAGAATCATGGACGGGTCCCAGGTCTCTGACCTGGTCAATTAGGTGGGTATAGTAGCACTGTACCCTGAGATAGGAAGAAGCTTGAGGGAGAACAGGTCTGGGCTGGAAGTGGAGTTAAGCGTAGGGCGTGCAAATGTGAGGTGGCTTTGGGATATCCAAGTGGACATATTCCGAGGTAGTTATAAATCTGAAGCTCAAGGTTGTAGTTATAGATTCGGGGTTTATCACAATGAAGGTGTTAGTGAAAACCATGACAGTGGATGGGAATCACCCAAGGAAAACGTGTAGAACGAGGAGCAGGGAGGGGAGAGGGGAGGGGAAGAGAGGAGAGAAGAATGAGAATGGGCTAATATCAAAGTTTTAAGGGGAACAAAGGAAAAGGGGAAACACACGAAGAAGCATTCTGAGAGGTAAGGGGGGAAAGCTTTCAGAAGGGTGACAACAGAATCGTAGGTTAACAGACTCATAGAAAGGTCTCTAAAAATGAACCCTAAAAAGTATTCAGCCCAAACTAGGGAGCTAATAATGGTGGGAGCAGTTTCAGGGGAATATTGGGGACGGAAGTGCGACTTCAGGAGGCTGAAGTTGAGGAAGTGGGAGGCAGGGAGATTGGACAACAACTCTTTCTGGAAGGTGGTCATGGGAACAAATCCTGACCTTGCCGGCATCTCTGTGGTGGGCCCTTCAGCGTCCCTTCCCTGCGCACTTGGCCGAGCTAATCTTGGCAAGGCCCTTGCAGTTCTGGCATTTTGTAACCCTATGAAACAGGCTTGGGGGAAGTCCTCGAGCCCATTTTGGCTCTCATGATCATTTTCCTTCAGTGGAACTCAGGTTACTTGTCTAAGAACTGAAGCCTCTGACCTGACTGATGAAAGTTTATCACGTGCATTGAAGCCACCTACTTGGCAGATGCAGTGAAAAGCTACACAGCTCTGGGCCCAAGGACAGGATGCAGGCGCGTGGGAGGGGAAGAGAGCAGGTGCTAACAATACAGATAGTGTGCCTACCGGAGCACTTTGTTACATTTCCTATTTGTCTCTCAAAACAATTTTATAGGAATCACCAAAGTGATCTTATCATGGTTTCTAGACCAGGTTGGGATGTGGGGTAGGGATTTCCACGGCTGCTTTTGTTTCGAAGGCAATCTGATAAGACGACACAAAAGCCATTGAGAAATGCATAATCCTACACATCTCAATGATTCAGTTCGTTGTCAAAACTTGGGGTGTTTTTGATGTTGTTACTGTTCTTTTGTTTTTTTTACTAGTATGTAAGGAGGTGGCAATTATTTGGAAAAGTCATTATCTTTGGCTAAACAAATCCCCCAAATTCAGGATGAGTTGTCTGTTGCTTAACACGTCTCAAAGATCCTTCGTGCACATTTTTATTTGATCTTTGCAGCAGCCTATAGTGATTTGCCTGAGGTCCATAGCCATTTGTTGGTAGAACAAGAACTAGAATTCAGGTCTCTTAACTGGAGCCTGTTCTCTCTATTCCGAGCCATTACACCAGCATCAGGAATTATCTGACAGACTGGAATAGTGTAGACAAGCAATTTGGCCAAGTCAAGCGAGGATTCCGACTTTAACCTCGATCCCAGGGTTTTGGACCCATTTCCTTCAAGACCCTCCTTCTCTTGGCCCTTGAGAAATTTATGTTTCTTAAATTACCTGTCCAGCTAAAATTTTTTTTAAATAACTCTCAGCACTCCTTTTTGCTTCGTGCCATGTAGACTTGAAAAGCTGCTGGGATTTCACTGGGTTTGAAGATTAAAGAAGTCTTGAGAAGCAATTAGCTGGGGGTATACCTGTCATAAAAATCAGTCCAAACTTTTGTTGACATTCGTTCCTTTCCCCATATGCCAGGTTCCCGGTTTGTATTAGTAAGACTGAAATTGAAATAAGTCTGTTGCTGGTGGACACATTTGTCACTTTCCTTGAAACTGGTGAACCCAGAAAACTAGCGATAGGAAAATATCGCCATTCTCTGTTAAGAAGTCTATGACATTTCAAGGCAAGAATGAATGTATGGAAGAAGAGACTTGTTTCTTCTTTACTAACAAAAGGGAAAGCCTGGAAGTGAATGATATGGGTATAATTAAAAAAAAAAAAAAAACCTTTACGTAACTTTTTTTTTTTTTTTTCTGGGAGAGAAGACTACGAAGCACATTTTCCAGGAAGTGTGGGCTGCAAAGATTGTGCGCTCTTAACTAATCCTGAGTAAGGTGGCCACTTTGACAGTGTTCTCATGCTGCCTCTGCCACCTTCTCGGTCTGAAGATAGCATTTCAACTCTAACACAGCATGATCGAAACATATAGCCAAACTGCTCCCCGATCCGTGGCCACCGGACCACCCGTCAGTATGAAAATTTTTATGTATTTACTTACTGTTTTTCTCATCACCCAGATGATTGGGTCAGCACTCTTTGCTGTGTATCTTCACAAAAGATTGGACAAGGTAAGCTGAACCAGGAGCCCTTGTTAACTCAAGTTGGGGGGTCCTCATTGATTTGCGGATTGATTGGTTTTAGGTCTATCCAGATGATGGACAGTGGTGGGAGTTCACATAGCTAAAATGGTCTCGTGGCATAATGCTTGTCATCTAGTTAGTAAGGTCTCCTGCTCTGGTCTTGGGTCGAGAGCTCGGGCTCTGGAGTCAGACTGCCTCGGTTCAAATCTTGACTCTGCCCCCTAATAGCTCTGCGATCCTGGGCAAGTTATTTTATATTTCTGTGCCTCAGCTTCCACATCTGAGAAACGGGGAAGATAATAGTACCCAGCTCGCAGATTAAATGAATTTAGCCTCGTAGCAAGATTAGAGCAGAGCCCCGCGCAAAGTGAGCACTAGGTGGGCATTAGCTGTAATTCTTTGCTAAAGTTTTGTTTAAGAAGTAAACTTTTCTGATGGAGACGCCTTTTTCTTTAATTGCTAACTAGAGAAGAAGAGTATGAATTTGATCTGAAACTTCCTAGTATTTCAGAGGAGCACGGACATGGATAAGTCCGGAATTTGCAGTCTTAGAGTAAAAGCGGCATTCTCTCTATAACTCTTCACTGATTGTAGTTGCAAGCTGCTCAGTTTCCCTCTGAGATGTTTTACATTCTCAAGTGGCTGGACTTACAGGAACAAAACTGTAGAGTAACTTAGGAGGTAGTTTTGCATCCTCAGGACAAAATAACTGTTGGGATTTATCCTGTTTCAGTGTGCTTACCCATTTCCACTGAGGGGCATTATTGGCCGTAACCGACAGAACGTCAGTCATATATGAAAAGGAGAAATTTGATGAATTATCTGGCTGTTCCTATAAGTCTGGATGTGGGGACTGTGGCTGTACAACCTCTGGAGACTGCATTTTCTCAGGGATGTTTGAATGTCCTCTATTGGGATCCCATCCTAGAATTAACGCCATGAAGTTTTTCATCAGGATAAGGAGGGGCAGTGACGGTTGGGGCAATTCACTGGGTTACTCTGATTTTAGTTGACTAAAGAGCAGGGTTCTGGGTCTGGTTGTTTGTTTGTGTTTGGCCTGGTGGGCTCTGTCAATCAAATGCCTGGACCTAAGCCTAGCCTCTATGGGGGGAAGCGGCGACCACATCTACCAAAGCATTGAGGTGTGTTCTTAATGACAGTGGAAGCCACTGGCTAAGTGGATCTTGTTTTAAAACAAGAAAATGGTCCAGAATCAGTTGATTATACAAGTGAATTCCATACATTTAATTATTCTGAGACATTGGAAAATAAAATCTCTCTCGTTAACTTTGGGAATGAAAGATGGCTTCCTTAAAAATGCAAATGTTTTCCACAAATACTAAAGTTAAAAAGAGAGAGATGTAATTAGAACTCAAGTTAATTGACATACATTGCAAATTAACTTCTTTTTATAAAGCACTGCAGCACCAACTAAAATGAAGTGGGCAAATGAGCTCAATGGAAAACGATTTTAGACGCTGGGTTCACAATTGACCCATCGTTACAGAGCAATGAGGAATATGATCATTCTCGAATATTGCTGGTATAATACATGGACAAAATGTATACTTTGTAATGAAATTTTATTAGAATAGCTGTGATTTCTACCTAGAGTTTCGGGTAATAGGACATTTTAATTGCTGGCTTTTGTCGATTTTTTTAATGGCTGATACCAAATAACAATAATCCGGTATAATAACTTTTATTCCCCATTTATATCTGCAAAATCCTCCTCCTGTTACTGATGCCATGGAAGTGATTGTAGGGGCAGACATCATTAGCTGCCTTCTCCAGAATTATGTTTCTCATGTCCATGTTATTTCACAAATAGATAGAAGATGAAAGGAATCTTTACGAAGATTTTGTGTTCATGAAAACGTTACAGAAATGCAACAAAGGAGAGGGGTCCTTGTCCTTACTGAACTGTGAGGAAATTAAAAGCCGATTTGAAGCCTTTCTCAAGGTAAGGAGCTCAGTTGTTGATTAAAGGGTCGTTGAAACGTTTTACTGCTTTTGCTAGGTCAGGAAATGAACGCTGACGATGGAGAAGTTTTGTAGACATAGGTACATATGTGCGTACACATATACATGGGTATATGTATCCAATAAAAACAAAGGAAAAATGAAGCCAAAATCCTATGTGAAAGGGAAAGGGAAATTGGAAGTGTGCACATTCATAGGAATGTTCTTGAGAGGAACAAAAGAGCCTCTTTTGGGGATACTACATGCAGCTGCCCCTGTGAACATTATGAAACACACCGAGTTTGGCCCTTGGCATTTCCCTATCTTTCCATCCAAACTTTGCTGCCTTGTCACTGCGGACCCATGGTCGGGTCCCCATTTCCCAGGGGAGCGAGAATCACTGGCCGGCCACAGGGTACAGGCCTGCCCTTACTGAGGGTAGTAGGGACTTCTGAAGGCTGGGGCTCTCACACACAAACGAACGCTTCTCTCGTGACAGAATTTCAGGTGCCATGAAAGCGAGATCTTTCCCTTTTATTGTGAGGAGAGCTGTGGGGAAAGGGGGATGGACTTTCTCGGTGCCGCTCAAACCAGACCCCACAGAACACCACTTGCTCATGAAGCCAGTCCACTGTAGGGCCGTCCAAGCCCTGAGGTGGACAGAGGCCCCAGCGAGGAGTCACTGCAGTCTCTGGGGCCTGGAATAGGTACTGCAAACAAGAAGTCTTAGAGTGTTTACTGAGGGCGCACTTAACAACATGAATTCCATCATCACAAACAAGGAGTCCAGAAGCTCTTTCTCCTGGAGCAGAACATCAGTCTTTCTGCTTGTTTCCCCTCTCAGAACACTGAGTAAAATACCCTTGGCCCTCAGCTCACTTTGGGGTCATGAATAGGAGGCGGGGGGGGGGGGCAGGTACTCTGGGTAAACCAACAGCAGTTAGTTCTCGCATATAAATAATGTATCATTTAACCTAGGAGTAAAGGGCTTAAGATCTTATTTCTGAGCTTATTCCTGTCCTCCAACGGTAAAGACGCTAACAGCCTAGTCCTGTGTCACCTACAGGAATCAGAGTGCAGCCCAAATCTGCTGCTGGCTTTTGCATTCTTTACACTCATCTAGGTTCTAGATGAAGACTCCTCTTCATTGGCCAAGCTTGGAAATGAGTTGAGCTTCTCTGGTTGTCCGAGGATTCTGGCCAGGACTCTAGGGTATTGGGAGGTGTTGCAAATTTAAATGGGAAGAAAGCCACTTCCAGAACTACAGTTATTAATCCAAATATTTATTGGATATTTAATGTCCTTGGCCATGCGACCTTGGGCAAATGACCTCACGTCCCCGGGCGGGCCTGTTTTCTCATCTATAAATGAGAGGGCTGAGGTTATCTGCCCTGACGCTGTGTGATTATATGATCAGCCTTGCAGCGAGAGTGCTGCTGGTTTTCCCCCTCCTCTCTCTTTCTTACTGAGAGTCTTACCGTTCAACGGCCAATTTCTAATGGCTTTATTTCAGGTCAGATACATAAAACTTCCCAAATCAGCTACCCAGGAGAGGAGCAAGGGAAACTGGCGGGCTTGGCCTCTCTGCTTATGCTTGCACGAAAAAAGTGACAGCTCCAAAGTTCCATATTCTAGAAAGGCAGACCTTCTCAGGCCTGTCAACCAGGGCTCCTGACGTAAGGCAGAGGAAGCCCCTCGCCTCTACTGCCACAGGAGCGGGATCCTAGTCCGTGCCACATGTCACATAGTCCTCCGGCTTCTCAGTCCTCCCCCGAAGACGGACCCGCTCTCCAATATCCATTCTGCCAAATTTCTCCTTCTAAACAATATTTTGGACGACTTTTTTTTTATTTTTTAATCCAGCCGGCCACCTGCAGAGTAACCCCAAATTGGATTTTCATCTTCTCAGTGAGTGTTAGCAGGGCTTTCTTTCTGGGCTTCACGGTCCGACTGGACCGGGACAACCAAAGGCTTGAATTCGGGGGTTCCAAATCATAGGACTTGAAGGGGTCTTAGAAGTCACCAGATCCAATGATCAACCCAGGGCTTCAGTCTTCTCCCCACAGCCCCTACCGAGTGGTCACCAAGCTCTGCTGGGACAGCTCTAGTGACGAGTAACTCATTAGCTCCTGAGGCAGGTAGCACCAAGCTGTCACTTTGAGGGGAAGATGGAATTTGGGGCTTATGCTCGGGTAAGTGCAGGCAGCGTCTTGAAGAGTGTAATGTCACGGGAAAATCACGCCACCCCGCTAGACTGGTCAGCTCCAGGGTCGTCTGCCCCCCTCCCCCAGGCCTGAGATGTCTTTGATGAGGGTCAAAGCATTTCCTTTTCAAGATAAAGGTCAACCTGTCCACACCTGCCACATAGACTTCCCAGTAAGAGAGAAATCACTAATCTGAGATTTTTCTGAAAGTCAACTTTGACAAGTCTTTCAGTTGAGGTGGGGAGTGAAGGAAGGGGGAAGAAAAGGGCTCTGGGGAGTGTGGTTGGGGGAAAGTTCACAGAAAGGCAAGGCTGGGCACATAAAAGACAAACTTTGCTGACTTCACGTTTTCATCTTGGCCAAACCCTGACACCAGTGCAACCACGTAGCCTAAAAGTACCTCCACCTCGATCATCACACTCCATTTTTGAGAAGACACTAAATACTCATTTGTTTACTGGCTGTCTCACAAACATTTTCCTGTCGCCGCACTTTCTCAGCTCAAGTGGAAACTTGAGGGCCTGTGGTCCCTGTGAGCTTTTCGAGGCGCAGGATCCCCAGTAGGGCTCTGTGACTTTCACCCTCACATCTGGCAACCGAGCTGAGCCTACCGGGGACGCTCCACAGTCCCGACACTAATTCCTTTTGGGGAAGGAAGGAAAGGAAAGGCCCTATAGAAAATGGAGTCCAGCAATGGGAAGGCGCGCAAGACTTTGATCATCAAAGGGGAAAATACTAGTGTGCTCGGCACTTGTATTTAGAGCCCAGAGTGACGGGGTGAGCTAAGCAAATAGCCAACTCCATATAGAGATACAGATACTGTTTTCTGAGGCAAAGAGAGTAATCTCCACGATGTGAACGTGATCTCAGAGTTTCTGCTCTTGGCTTCAGCCTCAGACTCTTGGGTGACCTCGTGCCAGCCTGCTAAGCCCTCGAGGCCTTGTATTCAGTATCTTTAAAATGGCAGCCGTAGCCCTGATTCCCTTCCTGCTTGTGTTGATGGCCATGCCCGTGAACTTCCCCAGTTGCTAAGTGAAAAGAAACCACTTAAGAAGTGTTGCATTTGGGGGCGCCTGGGTGGCTCAGTTGGTTAAGCGACTGCCTTCGGCTCAGGTCATGATCCTGGAGTCCCGGGATCGAGTCCCACATCGGGCTCCCTGCTCAGCGGGGAGTCTGCTTCTCCCTCCGACCCTCTTCCCCCCCCCCCCCTGCCCCCTTCTTCTCATCCCCCCCCCAAAAAAAAAAAAAAAAAAAAAAAAAAAAAAAAAGAAGTGTTGCATTTGCCTTTGAACACCAGCATCATTGGGAGATTACCTGGCTTTCCTATATGCTGATTATTCTAAATATATACAGGCCCCACAGGGCGACCAACTGCAAGAGAATCTCCTCATCCCCTCGACAGGGACAAGACAATAAAAAATGCCTGAGGGTCTGTCTGTAGTCTGGAATTTCTTCCCAAGGTCAAACGTACTATTACCATTTCCTAAGAGATTTCAGACCAATTTTATTCTAATAGATACACGCCTTGCTTTATGTTTAATAATATTCTATATACCAGTTCCCAAGGTAGAAACGTCTCCCCATTCAGCATTATTTGTCAATACCCGTCAAAGGCGGGGAGGCTGGGGTCATAGGAAGGGTCAGCTTCACAGCCTCTGGTCTGGAGAGAGCACTGCAGTGGAGATAATAGGGCCCCGATCCTGCCTCCAGGCTCACCCCTGGGCTTTCTGGGCTGTCAGCTCATCTGTCAGAGCCACGGGCTCCCGATCGCTATGATGGAATTAATGACAGGCTCTAAGTCCATGTGATAATCCTCACCAGGAAGAGGCAATAGAGTCATGACAGATGCCAAATGAATGATACCTCTAAAACCCCACACCAGATTTCCTGTCAAAATGACCTTTTGCACTATTCTTATTTTAGGAGATAATGCTAAACAAAGAAGTGAAGAAAGAAGAAAGCGTTGCGATGCAAAAAGGTAGGTTGCTATTTATCCGTTTTTGTGAATACTTAAAACCTAAAAGGAAGTTTCAGGCCGATCACACTGAACAACCCAGTTGTTAGAATTAGGGAATTTTTAGCCCTGGAAATAAAACAGGACTACAACGGCCAAATGGACACCTTCTCTAACACCTGTGATTTGGAAAGGTTTTGTAGGTGCACATGTATGGGCAAGGCTGTGTTCTTTTGATGCTGACAATACCTAGGATGAAGAAATGCCACTGTTTTCAATATCTTCATCAAAGCAACCATACAGCCTGGTGCCACCCACAGAGGATAAGATGACAAGAAAGTCATCGCTGGCATTCATCGCTCAGTGATAATAGCTTTGGGTGGGGAACCACGGCCAGTGGGGTGTCTGCGATCAAGGAATGATTCTGTGTGACAACATTCCATTCTTTGCCCTGTTCTCCATGTCAGAACACCTCCAACATCTCAGGGTTGGAAGGGATCTTGACTGGGAGGAAGGGTTCTCAAACGCAGTGCCACCCACATAGCACGAATCTCTTTCACAACCATCTGGCCTCTGATCCAACACGCTAGGCACCTTCTAGCTCATTCATCATCCTGGTCCAACTTTGAATGGCTCTAGCAATTATAATAAGATTACTGTACTACTCAGAGAGAAGTCTTTCCTCCTCTGGAGTTGAAATTTGTTCCTATAATCTCCACTCACTAGACCCAGTTCTGCTCTTTGGGACCATACTAAGCAAAGTGGAATTCTTATAGACAGCAGCTGTCCAGATGTTGAAAACAGCAGTCGTGGCTCCCAAGCCTCTTCTTCTCCAGGCTAAACCTCCCCAGTGTCTTCCACTGTTCCTCCCATGACCCTTTCCGGGGCTTCTCCTCTCCCTGTTCCTCCTAGAATTTAGCACCCCAAACACAATAATAATGCTTGGAGTGAGCGAGCAGCTGAGCATGGGGGAGATGGAGTGTTGGCAGACCAGTGTTATTCACAACGTCAGTGAAAACGATGCTATCTATGGCTTATTAATACATACAAAGAAATATATCCATACAGAGATACAGATACTATTTGCTGAGGCAAAGAGAGTCCTCAGAGCTTGCGTTAACTGTTGCTCTGGATGCAATGGGCCATCTGATTTCCATGAAGTTTTCATCTTCTGAATGACTGTAAGATGTGTTGAGTGGTACCATGTTGTCTGTGAGTTACAGTGAAATTTGAGGAAATGGTGCACGTGGGTGTTGCCTAGCAGTCTTCAGGAAAAGGATCAACTTAACTGGTTATCTAGGTCATGCAATTTGATTCAATATTTATAGGGCACCTACGAAGTGTCTGACAGCAGGCTCATTCTTGGTAAAAAAAAAAAAAAAAAAAAAAAAAGAAACTTCCACACAGTCTCCGCACATGGGACCTCGGCACATCTAATTAAAGAGCAAAGTTTTTACCTGAGAAACAACCCGAGCTAGGTACAATAGTTTGGCCAGTTGCTTGACCACGTCAGACACTGTTGGCATCATACCAGCTAAGTGTGCAGACACCACCTTGGGGCCCAGTGAGGTTCCCAATGGCCAGGAGCTGTTTCTAACAGCAAGATTCAAAATACATTTCACCAAGACCAGGAGTTTTAGCCTGCGTCAATCTAGCTGAAGTGGAGTCAGGTACTGAACGACCATTAGAAGAATGGGATCAATGCAAATAGCCAACTCAGTTGTTCAGATTCTAGAAACCTGCTTTCCCCTGTGACAGGGATTTCAGACCGTTGTACTCTTTCTTTTGTGTAACCTACTTACGCCCTGTCTCTATGACATAGCTATAGGACTAGACCGGATAGTTCTGTGGGCAGTATGGTATTGCTTTGGCCTGACAGTTGGCTTTTGGTTTCATTTCAGGTGATCAGGATCCTCAAATTGCAGCCCATGTCATAAGTGAGGCCAGTAGTAACACAGTGTCCGGTAAGTCCAAAGCCTCCGAGCCAGTCACCTGGGTGGGAAGGCTGAGATGCGCAAGCACGGCAGCCTAATGACCAGGCTCCTCTCTTCCTCTGGGGCCCAATTTACCAACCCATCCATACACCTCTCATATGCTCTCCTTTGTCTTCAAAGTGAGCTCAGATGCACAGATGGGACTTGAAGGGACAAAAGGAGGTGGGAAGCAATCCCGATGTTCTCATTATGTTCTTGCTCAATGGCCGATTCTAAATGATGAATTGCTGGGTAGAGGGACCATTATTCTGAGAACATAGAAGAGATGGCAGGTAGTGACCTCCTGGCTGGGAGCATCCCTCACGCTAACCCCTCTTCGCTGTGTGTAAATGGGCCTCAGGGGGTACTTCCTGCCATCTGTCAATCCCTGTATGATTAACCCCAGCCTCACGGGGGCCAACCTCAGGGAAATTAAAGGTAAAATCATTCTGCAAAGATCAATAGGTGCCAGGACGTTAGATTTTCCAATGAAGTAACAGCAGATGACATACTGTAATCTTTTCAACTCTGAAAAAGTTTATTTCCATATACGTTCTGCCATCATTCTAGCTCTTAGATCTTTTTTCCCAAACCTGTACCTTGAGAGAGCTGGTGCTGGAGAATTTGTCGCATCTGATAAATGGATGGAAACATGCCTGCGAGCACGAAACCCCCTCACTAGATAAATGCAGTCCGAGGGCATCAGAACAGTCTTGGAAAAATTTAGCACAGTTTTCCAGAAAGGAGTTCTAAACAGTGTGTGTGTGTGTGTGTGTGTGTGTGTGTGTGTGTGTGTGTGTGTGTGAAACACACATACAATGAGAGAGATAGAGACAGAGACAAAAAGAGAGAAGAGGAGATACCACCTCATCTCTGAGGTGGCTTGGGCTTCTCAGTGGGCGTAACATATACGCGGTTATCACAGATCATGATACGGAAGGAAGAGCACTGGATAGGAAGTTTTTGAACTGAGATTCTAGAACCGTGACTACCACTTGCTAGGTGACCTTGGGCAAGTCCCTTTACTGCCATGTTCCGCCTCACTTACTTCACAGGGTGACCCTCAGCGTCAAATCAGCTGATGTGGAAGAAGGTCATACTGTCATGTGCTAGACAAATGCAAGGTGCTGTTACTTAGCTTCCTTTACTGTAGTTTAGATGTCAGAAGAGTTGCAGAAAGCCCTTCATTAATACCAGTTATTTCCTACCATATTTAATAATCCTGCCAGGTAGCCATTCTCAGCAAATACACTTATGGGAGAACATCCCAGCTGTGGTGGCTTGTCCGGGGTGGCGGTCCACATGACACTTGCACACCCGGATTGCATGACCTCAACAGAGACACCACTTAGAAGAGTAGCTTCCCGCTGGTCTTTGCCCACCAGCGCAGAAATCCTTGCCCTTGGATAGATTTCGTGGCCTCAGATTCTGCCAAAGAGTCCAAGATTGATATGGTCCCAGCATATTTCGGTCCGCCTCACAGGAGGTCCGCAGGGGATCAGGTGTGAAGACAACAACATTCCTCACCGCCCCCCCAGTCCCAAACCCCCCACTCCTGCCTGGTCATGCTGCCACAAGCTTGACCTGCACCCCACGGCAAGGACAAAGACTAGGTAAGGATTTGCAGAGATAATCCTAGTGGACTAAAAGATAGAGAACCTGCCCTTGGCTTCTCAAATGGCCTGAAAGTGAAAACATCATAAGGAAGTGTCATTTCTGTAGTGGTCCGGAGGGCCAAGAAATGTCAGACATTTCAGGATGCCTTTCCTGTTACTAAAGGATGAATCTTAACAGCTTGAATCTCACACCCTGATAGATCGCCAAATAGGAATTTTTAAAAAGGGCTCAAGGAAGCAAATGATCGATACTTTCACTTCTCCCCAACCCCCACGCCCGGCAGTCTAGCTGGCTGTGGGAGCTGAGATTTGAAATCGGGTGCACACACTACTTTGAACCCACTCAACATCTCCGCCGAGAAAATGGCACACCGTTGGTGGGTACTCAGGTTTAGCCACAAGAACACAGGTACTTTCAAGTTGGTGGCGCCCACTACAATGGAAGATCAAAACACACAGTGAAATGACAGGTTCATTTTCATACTTCCTTGCCTAATTTTAGTCCTTGCTGTGGGAGGCAGGTCGGGTTTGCGACAGCATGTGCAAGTAGGAAGAAATGGGGTCTTTCCTTTTGTCAGCTGAGGCTGAGCTACATAGACCGGCAACTCTTTGACTTTGTAAAATCCAAGGAAGGTGAGATAGTAGTGTTCACATCAGCAAGGATTTTGTCTGAATGTCTTATAAGTGTGCATAGTTCAGGACATGGAATTTTGAAATCACTCACACTTGAAGTTCAAGGGCAAATTGGCTCTAAACGCTCTAAAGGAAGAAGGAAACTCACTGTGCCCGGTTGCTGTATTTAATCTTCAAAACAAGTCTCTGAGAGACTCTGTAATACTAGCCCCGTGTTACAGATGAGAAACTAAAAGCTCAGGGTGATTGAGGGTCTTGGCGCGAGCTTGACTAAAGTCTGGATTGGAACCCAGCTCCATCCGACTGTGAAGCCCCTGCCGATCGGTCAGCCCCCAGCTATCACGTGTATATGAAGCTGGTATCGAACATTAAACTCTGTGTTCTGGAGGAATGGGAGCCATGCATGCCTCACCTCACCACGAACTCCCCCTCTCCGTTACAGTTCTCCAGTGGGCCCCGAAAGGGTACTACACCATAAGCAGCAACCTGGTAACCCTCGAAAACGGGAAAGAGCTGGCCGTGAAAAGACAAGGACTCTATTACATCTATGCCCAAGTCACCTTCTGTTCCAATCGGGAAACTTCGAGTCAAGCTCCATTTATAGCTAGCCTCTGCCTGAATTCCCCGAGCGGATCCAAGAGAGTCTTACTCAGGGCTGCAAACACCCGCAGCTCCTCCAAACCTTGCGGGCAACAATCCATCCACTTGGGAGGAGTATTTGAATTGCATCCAGGTGCTTCGGTGTTCGTCAACGTGACTGATCCAAGCCAAGTGAGCCACGGGACGGGCTTCACGTCTTTTGGCTTACTCAAACTCTGAACAGTGGCACCTCGCAGGCTGCGGCTGAGCTCATGCTGGTGGTCTTCGTAATACAGCAAAGCAGTTAAGACCACCCCCTGTTGAACTGCCTATTTATAACCCTAGGATCCTCCTCGTGGAGAACTATTTATTGTACACCCCCAGGCATGTAGGGCTGCGGGCATCCAGAGAGTCCCATGAAAAGACGAGACCATTATGCGCAGATGGAATTGTGAGTAAACGGCAGATCATTAGTCAAGTTTCGTTTCATTTCTTTGCATGCAGTGTCTTTCCATGGATAATGTATTTGATTTCCCAGCGAAGACGCGGAAGGGCAATGGGGAGCCTCAGCCCTGGGTCCCCGCGGCCCTGATGGAGGGGGCAGGCTCTAGAAAGTCTGATGCAGCGGAGAACTGAAAAACCCTGCCCCCACCAGCCACCCTGACTCTCATCCTCTCCCTCCTCCGCGCCCCACCCCCCGCCCCCTAGACACACACAGTCAGGCTGTTGCTAATCGGTTATCTTATTTCAACCCTGTCGCGTCTCCAGCACTGTAGGCGGGAGGGGAGAGCAGAGGCAGAAGCTCTGAGGCTGCCCACTCCTCCTCCCGAAATGACTGTATTTAAAGGAAATCTCTCGTATCTACCTGCAGTCTCCCTTGTTTCCAGAGTGAACTTGTGATGATCTTGTTATTTATTTTTTGAATAATAAAGTGCCCTTAATGTTATTGTTGTCATCTAGCACCTAAAGCCCTTGGCCAGGTTGGTGGGGGGTGGAGGAGGAATTGTTGGGAAGGGTTCTTCCCAAACTGGGTGATGGGTTCATAAACTTGGTTCTCAAGCTTCTTGCACCACTAAATATCTTGGCGACCGCACCCTGCCTGGCTGTCTGCGATAGGCTTTGATGGATCGACGTGAAGCTCGCTCGGTGAAAAGCAATCTGGGTCTTTATTTCCAGCCTGCTCTGGAAAGGCTGCAGGGGATGAAAAAGAGACTTTTTGTTCTTGATTAATCACAGCTAAGCGAGGCTGGAGGGAGGATCTTTAATGAAAAGCAGTTGCTGATCTTTTTCGTACTGTCTAGGTGGTTCTACCTTGGGTGAGAGGCAATGGAGCTGGGACAAACTGGGGAGAAGTACTGGTCCCCCGTTCTGCCACCGAAGCCAACAGACCTATTCTTGGTCACCTTCAAGAAACCCAGAGTGGCTTGTTCATTTTTATTGGCAGAGTGCGTTGCTTAAAGCAAACACCTAGGTTCAAGCAGGAGAATATTACTGTAGGAATAGGAAAGGGGAAGGGGGGGGTCCACTCTGCCCACCAGCCCTGCTCTTTGGTCCTGTGGACCACACAGCCCCTCCTGGACTGAGTGACTTTGAAGACGTTCTAGCATGAATTGCTAACACAAGGCTGAAATCATGCTAGTTGAACTTGCTTGGCTGCATACCGTCTTCAACGAGAGAACTTTGGTATGAGCAGAGGTGACATTGCTCGATTCAGGGACTCATGGATATGTCCTCAGTGCTGTCTTGTCCTCTGGAGCAAAGATCCTTCTACAGCCTTGTCCTCTGCACGGGACACTTGAAGGAAGTGGGGCAGCGGCGTGGCAGCAAGGAGACATTGGTCATGAGATTCTCATAGGTATGGGGCTCCCTTAGGGAGGTCAGGACCCCAGGTCCAGCTGAGAAGAGGGCCTGGCCCCGTCCACAGAGAAGAGACAATCCACGGGTCATGATTTCCCCTCCCTCACGGTACCTGAGTGCCCACTTTGGGGGACAGCAGTACTTGCCCAGCTCGCCCAGGTGAGACATGCGGGCGGGGGTGGGAAGAAGCATTACCCGTTTAGTAAGGTTCTTGCGCAGGGAATCCATGTCCAGCCTGGACAAAACTTTTATAGTCTTTGTATACTCACATGCTCTGATTTAAACATTGCCCTTGCACTTCACCCTACCTTCTTCTTTGGACATCATATCTCCCAATTATCTCTGCCTCTGGCAACCAAGTTGCTAACGATATCTGTTATCAAAGGAATGCCATAGTTACAAAAACTACATGTTCTAGTCTATTTCTTCTGCTCTCGTGCTTCCTACTGCTCACTAAAAGACGCCTCCCAGAGCTCCCGTCCAGAACTTTCCCCTGCATGTCAGCCTCACCTAGCCAACTGCCTTCAACCTCTCAGACTACTTCCTCATGAGGTCGCCTTGTCCTTTCCAAGAACTCCAGTCCCATCCTTTACCCTCGTATCTTCCTGTCCTACATGCTCACAGTGGGCTGTCTCCTCAACCCCGCCAACTCCTGGGTTCGAACACCACGTTCATGCCTTTAGTCCTGACCTGCCTCCTGCAGTTTGTCCCCTCAAGCCCAATGCATCCACATGGAACTCCTAATCTTTCCCCCAACCCAACAGGGTCCACTTTGCCAGTGAATGGCAGCCTCATCTGCCCTGCTTCCCAAGCCAGCAACCTGCCCTGACTTCTCCCTCTCCTCACGCCCATGTGCAATCCTACCAGCACAAATCCATCACCTCTATTTCTTAAATAGTCTGTAAGTTAATCTACTTCTTTCTGTCTCTACTGCCACTACCCTAGTCCACGCTACCGTTCATCTGTCTCCCAGAATACAACCACAGCCTCCTAGCCTCCCTGCCTCTACCCTTGCTCCCTCTCATTCATTCTCCGTGCACCACCAAAGTGAATTAGTAAATGAAAGTCTGATTTGGCGTGCCTGGGTGGCTCAGTCGGTTGGGCATCTGCCTTCGGCTCAGGTTGTGATCCCAGGGTCCTGGGATCAAGCCCTGAGTCAGGCTTCTTGCTCAGTGGGGAGCCTCCTTCTCCCTCTCCCTCTCCCCCTCCCCCTGTACTCTCTCTCTCTCTCTCTCTCTCTCTCGCTTGCTCTCGCTCTATCTCAAATAAATAAAATCTTTAAAAAAATAAATAAATGTCTGATTTTTCCACTCCCCTGCTTCATCATCTCCTGCAAATACCTCTCTCAATGTCTTAAGTTCCAACCCTCAGTTCCACTAAGCAAGGCTACACGTACTCTCCCGCCTTGGGACCCGGACATGCTGCTTGCTTGGAACCCCCATCCCCCTCCCCACTGCACCCTGCACTGAGCTTCATGGCACTTACCGAAGTTGAGGTTTTTCCTACTATGCTGTGAGCTTTTTGAGAACCAAGACCTTGTCCTGTACATCTGCTCATGGTGACTTCAGCGTCTGCCATAGCGCCTGGCATAGAATTGGCCCTTGATTCATTGTATGAAGAAAAAAATGAGTGAATAAATGCCCCTGCTTGTAACTTGGTTAAGTAGTTCATGAAATAATTCTGGGTGTTGGATAAAGCATAAATTTGCAATACTGTAAAAATATTTTATGTCCACAACATGTATATGATAAAACTGTACTCAAGGAGCACAGAATGACTGCGAATTATAATGTAGATAAAAATAAATAATCTCTTTTTCTGGGGTGCCTGGCCAGCTCGGTTGGTGGAGCATGTGACATTTGAGCTCGGGGTCCTGAGTTCGAGCCCCACGTTGGGTGTGGAGATAACTTAAAAATAAAAACCTTAAAAAATACATCATCTATTTTTACTATCTGGTTCATGATAGTTTGCAAAACAGTACATGAAGTTGGTCCAAACTTCACTTGAACATTTTCAAAGTTGTTCTAATAAATGATGGGGACTTGAGAACCTACAATATTCTGATCATAAGTTATCTAATATCATCCCATTTTTATAAACATGTTACTTTTACATTCCATCTAAGGATTGGCAGGAAGGGAATGCTTGAAATGACCAATGATTTTTATTTCCAGGTAAAGAGAAAATGAACAAAGTACGAAATATTACTATCACTCTTACTTGGTAGGAAGCAAAGGTCTAAACGATGCAAACAGTGTGCCCAGGCAAGCTGTGGGTACGGGGCACCCCAGTTAAAGGAAAACAACACATTGACTCCCGGGCTCCAGGAGGGAACGCATTTCATGCTGAATTTGACTATTTCCACAGGGCCTGATGCCACTGTGTTGGAGGCCACGCTGCCGTAGGCCTTTAAAGCAGTCTGAATGAAGTAAGAGACGCAGAAACCTGGAACATGAAGCTAAGTAGAATTTTTTTTCTCTCTCTCTGAAACACATCTCCAGTTAAAAAAACAAAACCAGGGGCGCCTGGGTGGCTCAGTCAGTTAAGCATCCGGCTCCTGATCTCAGCTCAGGTCTTGATCTCAGGATCGTGAGTTCAGGCCCCGCATTAGGCTCCACGCCGGGCATGGAGCCTAATTTTGAAATAAGTAAGTAAATAAATAAATAAATAAGTCAAAACGTTTTTTAAACACCCCAGAAAGGGGCTCCTGGGTGGCTCAGTCAGTTAAGGATCTGCCTTCGGCTCAGGTCATGATCCCAGGGTCCGGGGATAGAGTCCCGTGTTGGGCTCCCCGCTCAGCAGGAAGCCTGCTTCTCCCACTCCTTCTGCCTGTCTCTCTCTCTCTCTCTCTCTGTCAAATAAATAAATAAAATCTTTAAAAAATAAATAAAACCCTCAGAAATAGTCATTGTAGTGTAGTGGTTGCATCTGGAGTCAGAGAGACACCGTCCTAATCCAGGCTCTGCTATTTTACCACCTTTATAACCATGGCAAGTCATTTCTCCTCCTCTGGGCCTCAGGGTCCTTGCCTGGAAAGCAAGGTTTATGAGGGTTTAACGAGATCATTCACAGAAAGTCCCCAGCAGAGCCTGCTCTCTGGAACAGAACACCAGTGTGAGACATCTGAGACCAAGGGAAACAGGCCTCGCCCATTGTAGTAGGCCAAAGACCACACCCAGTTTGAAGGAAAGTAAAAGAAAAAAAAAGGCAGGGGATTAGATCACATACCTAACATTACCATAGATTTATGTGTAGCAAAGACTCTTTCTTACAGTTTCATTGTCAAAAACAATGAACCATTGGAGGCTTGGGGTTGCCAGATATGTCAGTTGGCTTGAACAGTTCCACATTTAGCATATTTAGGAAGGTTTTTTTCTTTCTTCTTCTTCTTTTTTAGTTTCAGGGGTAGAATTTAGTGATTTATCAGTTGCATATAACACCCGGTGCTCATCACATCACGTGCCCTCCTTAGTGCCCATCCCCCAGTTACCCCATCCCCCCACCCCACCACCCCTCCAGCAACCCTCAGTTTGTTCCCTGGAGTTCAGCATCTCTTATGGTTTGGCTCCCTCTTAATTTTCATCTTATTTTATTTCTCCTTCCCTTCCCCTGTTCATTTGTTTTGTTTCTTAAATTCCTCACTGTTGGTGGGAGTTCAAACTGGTGCAGCCACTCTGGAAAACAGTATGGAGCTTTCTCAAAAACTTAAAAACAGAACTACCCTACGACCCAGCAACTGCACTACTAGGTGTTTATCCAAAGGATACAAACATAGTGATCCGAAGGGGCACATGCTCCCCAATGTTTATAGCAGCAATGTCCACAATAGCCAAACTAGGGAAAGTGCCCACATGTCCATCGACAGATGAATGGATAAAGAAGATCGGGCATATATATACAAGGAAGGTTTCTTTTAAGAAAGACTGTGATCATTGCTTCCCGATCTAAAGGACATCAGCACACAAATGTACCCCTTCCATACCGCACTCCTGTGAGTAACCCCAAAAGGCAGCTCGGCAACTCTCAAGAACACCAGTGAAACACACAGTGGGGTTCCCATTGCCCACTCCTGGAGTTACACTGAATTACC